GGGTGGTGGGGGGAGGGGAGGGGTTGTTTGAGGAAACTAGTTGGTACAGTTGTCATAGAATTTGCCTAAAATAGAATTGAAATGATGGCAGAGCAAAAGAAAAAGAGGAAGAAAAGAAAAAAGAAAACAAAGAAAAAAGAGCAAACTTCAATCAGTGATGGAAAGGAGTTGAATAAATACCCCACTTCCTTGCCCTTCAGTGTGACAATTGATAATTCTCTCCTAAAGTCCCAAATGAGGTCCCCCAATTTTCAGCAGTAATCTGATAACTAGCTTACTTTTTATTGGTTTTCTCCCTTCAGCATCTATTTCCACATTCTCTCAGAGTGCTTCCTGTAATCACCTCTCAGATACACTACTAGCAATTAGTCTTCTCTTAGGGTCTGCTTTTGGAAGTGGGTCACAAACTAATATTAAGAACTGATTACCTGGAATATTGTAAAGGAACTTTAAGTGATCTCCCAGATCTAACTGTCCTATCTTACCCCATCCATTTGTTCTATATATTACCTCTATACTTTTCTTTCTAAAACTCAGTTGATTCAAGCCACTTGCCTCCTTAGAAATCTTCAATGGCTCCCACTACAATAAGAAGTAAAACAAAACTCTGTCCTACAAATTCTGCCTGTATTTGTAATTCTATGTCAGTTTGCATTCCTTTACACACACACACACACACACACACACACACACACACACACACACACACACACACACTCTGTCCAAACACACCCATCTATTTTTTATTTACAGAAACTGTCTTCTCTATGTTTTCAACAAGGTTCTGTTGCAAAACATCCTCCCCACCCATACTGGCTGATAAATCTCAACTCATACTTCAATGTCCATATCAAACACATTACTCTCTGAGAAACCCTCTCAGAATCCCACTGTATAGATTAATATTTTCCTCCCACCATGTTCCCCAGTGCCATGATTAAATTTTCAGTATTTCAGAGTGCACCTTGATTGAGATGATTTATGGATACGAGTGCACCTTGATTGAGATGATTAATGGATAGCTATTTCCACCACCAGATATGAATTCCTGGGAGGCAGTAGCCATATCACATCCATGTTTGGCTATAGTGGTAATATTCAAAATAATTAACAAACCTATATCCCAGCACTGACCAATCAGAAAGGATGCCTAATCAAGGTCCTGAGGCCCTCTGATGCTTTAAGTGTTAACCATTTAGTTACTGCTGAATTAATTGATGGGAGATCCAGGATCGAGAGGTCTGGGGGAGGGACTGTGTTGCTAGACAGGAAAAGGTCCCACTGTAGTGGAGCTCAAACTTTTTGCCAACTTATGAGCAACTGTGACAATATTTTAAGAGGGAAAGCATAATAGGTTGAATGTCAGCTTTGTTTATAGCTACTATGTTTATAAAGACTTTCCAAATTATAGGCCTTTAGTAAAAACTTATTATATAATTAAGAAGAAAATTTAAATGAGCACAAAGTTTTTTTTAAACATCACTGACATACATATGCTGATACACTACTTTAACTAGAACAAATAAGGAAATTCTCAATATATGTGTGAAATTTTTATAGTCTAGTTTTCCTTTATTTATTTTGACATTTACTTGTACATATTTGTGGGGTACAGCGTGTTGTTTTAATACATGCTTATACTGCACAATGATTCGCTTAGAGTAGACAGCATAGTTTTGTACCCATCAGTCCACTACTCCTCCTTCCTTCCCAGCCTCTGATAACCATTATTCCACTCTCTACTTCTGTGAGGACCACTTACTATTATTATTTTTTTAGTTCCACATATGAGTGAGATCATGCAGTATTTGTCTTTCTGTGCCTGACTTACTTCACTTAACATGATGGTTTCCAGTTCCATCCACGTTGCTGCAAGTGATAAGATATAATTTCTTTTTATAGCTGAATAGTATTCCATTGTGCATATATACCAGTTTTTTTTAAATGCATTCATACGTTTATGGGCATTTAGGTTGATTCCATCTCTTGGCTATTGTGAATAGCATTGTGATAAACATGGGAGTGTGGGTGTCTTTTTGATATATTGATTTCATTTCCTTTGGGTATATACCCAGTTGCTAGGTTGTAAGGTAGTTCTATTTTTAGTTCTCTGAGGAACCTTCATACTCTTTTCCACAGTGGCTGCACCTATTTACATTCCCACCAACAATGTAGGAGGGTTCCCTCTTCTCTGCCTCCTCACCAGCATTTGTTATTTTCTGTCTTGTTGATAACAGCCATTCTAACTGGGGTGAGATGATATCTCATTTTGGTTTAAATTTGCATTTCCCTGATGATTAGTGATTTTGAGCATTTTTTCATGTGCTTATTGGCCATTTGTATGTCTTCTTCTGAGAAATGTCTGTTCAGCTGTTCAGGCCCTTTACCTATTTTTTAATTGGGTTTTTTGTTGTTGTTGTTGTTGTTGTTGAGTTGTTTATTCTGGGTATTGGCCCCTTGTCTGACACACTTTGTTCATATTGTCCCTTGCTATGTAGAAGCTTTTCAGTTTGATGTAGCCTCATTTGTATATTTTTGCTCTAGTTGCCTGTGCCCTTGTCGTCTCAGTCAAAAATGTGCTGCCCATTCCTGTTTCATGTAGCATTTCTCCTAGTTTTCTTATAGTAGTTTCATAGTTTCAGGTCTTAAATTTAGGTATTTGATCTATTTTGAGTTGATTTTTATGTATGGTGAGAGATAGAGGTCGAGTTTCAGTCTTCAGCATGTGGATGTCCAGTTTTCCCAGAATCACTTATAAAAGAGGTTGTCCTTTCCCCATGAAAATTCTTGTCCCCTTTGCTGAAAATCAGTTGGCTGTAAGAGTGTGGGTTTATTTCAGTGCTCTCTATTCTGTTCCATTGGTTTATTTGTCTATTTTTATGCTGTTTTGGTTACTATAGCTTTATACTATATTTCAAAGCCAATGACTCCAACTTTGTTCTTTTTGTTCAAGGTTTCTTTAGCTATACAGGACCTTTTGTGATTCCATATAGTCTAGTTTTATTTATATTATTTCAGATTAGTTAGCAGCTTTTCTGATGAAATTATGTTTACACTGCATAATATACTGTAGAAGTCTTCCAGTAGTAATATCAAGAAAAATTGGAGCTAATTTTCTTTTTCCAAAACTGTTTTTCTAAGGTGCAATGGCATGATTAATTCAACTCTAAGGCATTGTCCTGGGAAGAGCTATTGTGATCATATCTTGTACATATTTTTCAAAATTATGAAGCCTGCAAAATCTCTTGCATAGCAAGCAACGTTTACCTGATTCATCCTCATTTAACAATCTACCCCTGAGCTGCCTTTAACTTCCTTAAATTAAATTCCTTCTAAATTCTTTCAAACCAACATGCTAAAAGAGTTCATATCTGATTAGTGAAAATACGTATTGAAATGTTATGGTCTCACAAAAGCTCCCAAAACCAACAAAAAATAATCAGACAAAAGAAAGTCACCCTTAATCTAATTATTTAATTATTCTGAGGTTCGTTTCATTAATTTTAAGAGTCTGATTCATGGGCCAGGGGCTTTGTTTAAGGTGGTCATAAGTATTCCTAATTCAATAATCCACAGTTTGTGGTTCCTTTTCTGTTTCCTATAAGAATCAGAAATACTGTTTTCCATAAAACAGAAAACTGAGATTTATTATGTTTTGTCAAAAATAATCATGCCAATTTTGAATGACTTGTTGCTTTTTACAAAAGACTAGTTAAAATTCGAAAAATAACCAAAATCCACTAACTATTAGTACTGTCATTGACAAACTGAAATGAAAACTGAAATTTAAATTTCTTTAAATCAATTTACATTTTCTGGATTACCTATAAAAATGGTGAAATATGTTACTTTATTGAAATGGCTGAAATAGGGTCACTACAGCTCAAATATTCCTATCACATGGACACTTATTAATGGGCTATGTAAAGCCAAACATCCCAAAAGCAATGGGAAGATTTCATGAGACGCTAATGACTACTGCTGTGTGAACACCTGAGGTTAAGCACACCAGAAGCAGGGAATGAAGATGGGTAGGTGGATTCTTACTACACAGTACCTTCTATCACCGTGGTAATAATTGAATCATTGTATTTGGCATTCTGAAATTTTCCTACTGTTTGTTAATGGCATTGACATTCAGTCTACTCTGTACTTTCTTCTTGGCAGCAGGTCTCTATACCTTCTATGCTAGATATAGACCCTTCCCTCAAACATTCTTTGTTGAGGCAAGCAGGAATGAGAGGCCTGTATTTCTAGGGAGCACAAGGTCACTGCTAGGTATATGCTCTCTGCACTTCTAAAGCTGTATCCACTTACCTTCCTTATAATAATTTCCATAGCAAAATCCAATTACTAGTGGGGCATTTAATTCTCTCCTAACTGGGACAACTTATTCCTTTGATGAATCACAGCCCCTCAGTTCTCGCTATTACTTTCTATCAGTTCTTACCCTGCTCTCTTCAAACTTATAAAAATACTTCCGATCCCCATTCCCAAGCAAGTAATTCTGTTCAGGGACCATCAGAGCAATTGTATGAATATATGATTTTTTAGAAACAAAGGAAGAAATCTTTACACATACTAAAACTTTAACCTATTTTTATATATCAATTAAGTGCATGTAGATATTTTATTAAAATACCCAGTCCTGTAAACAGACATAATCATAGAATTCTGTCAGGTTCATAAATTGGCAGAACTATTTGAAAGTATTTTATCAAATTTTAAATGTAAATACCCTAAAGTAAATATTTCCACTTTTAGTAATTTGCTTCACAAATAAATTTAAATAAATGGCCAAGATAATATAGCACTACATGTAAAATGTATGCCACAAAGCTCTGATCATTTAGAAAGCTTATGACTGAAATGCAAAATTAAATTTCCTCCTGGGCCATTTACTAGAAAGAGTAAATATAGATTAGATTTTTATTGCTTCTCCTCATATTTCTATCCTGCTGTGGTAGTTAATAATAATATTTCATTAATAAATTTGATACCTTTGAATACACCACGTTTCCAAGGCGACACATGCAGAATGTATGGAATTGAATTACCAGCATGTATAGTGACTTGTGGAATTCCCCACACTATTGGAAGATCTGAAGATACCTAGAAAAGAGGTAAAAGTAAACAAGAATTATATAATATCGACATGAAATGCTTTTCTATGCTTTAGCATGTTACACTACATGTAATTAGTGTAACAAGCTAACACATAAAAACCTAAAATTTCTATTAAATACTTCATTAAACTATTCACTTTTATTGAACAGCCAGCCAGAAAAATGCTACATACAGAAGAAAAATATGAGAAGAGACCCATGAAAACATGGAACAAAGGAAATGATTCTTCCAAAATACATTTATTTCTGTTGCCTCTTTTGTATAAAGATCATTGATGCTTACAAAATCTAAATATCTTTTATAGGCCATGCATAATTTCCTTTACGCAATCAGATGTACAAAGATATGAGCCATTTCAATGAATTTCTACATCAGTATTAACAAAATGGAAAAGGAATATTTAAGCTACATTTGACCACAATCTTGGTTAAATCCAACTGTCAGTCTATTGTGTGCTTGCATCTTGCCACTCCACACTCCCCAGGCAAACACTACTTTGTGTCTCCATAGATTTGCTTATTATAGATAATTATTAGAAATGAAATCCTAGAGTATTCAGTCTTTTTCACTGCTTTTCATTCAGCACACTGTTTTCTTTATTATTTTTTACTTATTTTTTAATTAACAAATAAAAATTGCACATATTTATGATTTACAACTTGGTGTTTTGATACATGTGCACATATGAAATGGCTAAATAGAGATAATTAAGATGTGAACTACTTCACATAATTAGCATTTTTGTGGTGAGAACACTGAAAATCTACTGGTTTTTTGTGAAAAATACAATACGTTTTTATTAACTACAGTCACCTTGATTTATATTGGATATTGAAAACTCATTCATTTTAGTTTTTTCTGCTTTCTTTTTCTTTTTATTTATTGCCTTTTATTGAAACATATTCATTGTACACATTTATGGGATACAGAATTGTATTTCAATACATGTATACAAAGTAAGATCATATCAGGGTTATTAGTATGTTCATCATTGCAAAGCTTAATCATTCTTTGTAATGTAGACATTTGATCTCCTCTTTTCTAGCCACTCAATGATATGCAGTAAATTATTGTTAATTATAGATGCATAGCTCTACTATACACCAACAGAACTTATTTTTCCTATCTAGCTCTAATTGTGTGTCCATTAACCAACGTCTCCCTATCTTCTCTCCACCCTCCCCTTTACTGCCTCTAGTAACCACAGTTTTACTCTCTCCTCCTAAAAGTTCGACTTATTATTTATTTACTTACTAATTCATTATATTTATTTTTATTTTTTTAAATTGAAACATAATTGATTATCATATCTATGGGGTTCAGATTTGACTATCAGTATTTGTGTACAGTATGTGATGATCAAATCAATTTTATCAGCACGTTCATGATAGATTAATCTTTGTGTCCCTTACCCAATTACTTCCTAAACCCTCCCATCTATAACTATAACTATAGGTCTGTTCTCTCCTTCTGAAAGTTTAATGTTTTATTGTGGCCTCCCTCCTTCCCTTCCTTCTTTCTTTCCTTCCTTCCTTTCTTTCTTTTTCTTTCCTTCTTTGTTAGCACCCACTTATGAGTCAGGACATGCAGTATTTCTCTTTTTGTGTCAGGCTTATTTCACTTAACATAATTTTGTCCAAGATCATCCATGTTGCTGCAAATGGCATTCTTTCTTTCTTTCTTTCTTTCTTTCTTTCCTTTCTCTCTCTCTCTCTCTCTCTCTCTCTTTTTCCTTTTAATGGCTATGTAGTATTCCCTTGTGTATGTATACTACACTTATCCAGTCATCTGTCGATGGACATCTGGGTTGGTTCCAAAACTTGGCTATTGTAAATAGAGCTGTGATAAACATGGGAGTGCAAGTATCCCTTTGACATGATGATTTCCATTCCTTCGTGTATATACCCAGCAGTGGGATTGCTGGATCACGTGGTAGTTTTATCTGTAGTTGTTTGAGAAACCTCCATACTGTTTTCCATAATGACTGTATTAATTTACAGTCTCACCAACAGTGTAAAGGAGTTCCCTTTTCTCCACGTCCCTTCCAGCACTTGTTATTCTCAGTCTTTTTGATAATAGCCAGTCTAGCTGGGGTGAGATGATATCTCAGTGTGGTTTTGATTTGCATTTCCTGATGATCAGTGATGTTGAGCATTTTTTCATGTACCTGTGGGCCATTTGTATGTCTTCCTTTGAAAAATGTCTGTTCAGATCCTTTGTCCACTTTTAATTAGATTATTTGATTTTTTTACTGTGAATAGTTTGTACCCTTGGACCAACATCTCCCCATTTCCCCCACCTCTTAGCCCCTGGCAACCATCATTCTATTCTCTTTTCCTGTGACTTTGACCTTTTTAGATTCAACATACAACTGAGATCACGTAGCCAGTATTTGTCTTTCTGTGTCTGGCTTATTTTTCTCAGCATAATGTCTTCCAGGTTCATCTATGTTGTTGCAAATGATATATTTTTCTGATGGCTGAATAATATTCCATTGTGTATGTATGTATGTGTGTGTGTGTGTGTGTGTGTGTGTGTGTGTGTGTGTGTATCATTTTTTATTTACCCATTCATCTATTGATAGATACTGTATTACTCCTTTTCTGTTGCTTATAACAAAATACCTGCAACCGGGTGGTTTATAAAGAAAACAAAATTTATTGCTCACAATTTCTGAACCTGGGAAGCCCAAAGTCCACCTGGTGGAGGCGACAGTGACCCAGGGGTCTTACATTGCAAGATGATGGAAGCAGAGAGAGCAGAGAGGGAGATAGCTCCTCATGCCTTCTCCTTTTAAAGCCCTCAGAATTACACCCTTTGCCACTTCACTACAGAATGGTCCTATAATCTAATCACCTCTTCAAGGTTCCACCTTTCTATTACCATAATAGGATTTCCCACACCCAATGATCACAGTGGGGATTAAGCCTCAATGAAGTTGTGGGGGGCATCCAGTCTATGGCAAATATTTAGGTTGTTTCCATATTTAGGCTATTGTGAGTAATGCTGAAATGATCATAGGGGTGCAGCTATCTCAGGATACCAATTTCATTTCCTATGGAACTACAAAAGATCTCAAATAGGTAAAGCAATCTTGAGAAAGAAGAAAAAAGTTGAATGAAACAAACTTGCTGATTTTAAATTATATTAAAAAGCTATAGTAATCAAAGAAGTATGGTATTGGCATGAAAACAAACACATCAACTAGTGGAACAGAATACAGGGCTCAGAAATAAACCCACACATATACAGTCAACTAATCTTTGACAAGAGCACCAAGAGTATAAAATGGAGAAACTACAGTCTTTTTAATAAATGGTGTTGGGAAAACAGGATATCCACATAAAAAAAAAATGAAATTGGACCCTCCTCTTATCCCATACACAAAAACTAACTTGAAGTGGATTAAAGACTAAAATGTAAGACCTAAACCAGAAAAAAATCCTAGAAGAAAATATAGGGGAAAATCTCCTTGACATTGTTCTTGTCAATGATTTCTTGAATATGACACCAAAATCAGAGACAACAAAAGATCAAATAAACAAGTAAGACTACATTAAATTAAAAAGGTTCTGCTGAGCAAAAGAAAATCAATAAAATGAAAAGGAAACCTATGGAATAGAAGAAAATATATGCAAATCATATGTCTGATAAGGGAATAATATCTAAAATATGTAAGAAACACATACAACTCAATAGCAAAAAAACAAATGACTCAATTTAAAAATGGACAAAGGGCCTGAATAGGCATTTTTCCAAAAAAGACATATAAATGACCAATACACATATAGAAAAGTGATCAACATCACTAACAATCAGGGAACCACAAATCAAAACCACAATTAGATATCACCTCATACCTGTTAGGGTGGTTATTATCAAAAAGACAAGAGATGACTCCAGTTAGGGTGGCTAATATTCAAAGGTCTGAGAATGATAAAAGCTGGCAAGGTTGTGGAGAAAAAGGAACTCTCATACACTGTTGTTAGGACTGCAAAATGGTGCAGCCTTTATAGAAAATGGTATGGAGGTTCTTCAAACAATTACAGATAGATCTACCATACAACCCAGCTATTTCACTGCTCGGAGTATTCCCAGAGGAGTGGAAATCATCATGCTGAAGGGATACCTGTACTCCCATCTTTATTGCAGCATGATTTACAATAGCCTAGAGTTATAACCAGCTCAAATATCCATCATAAGAAGAGTGGATAAGGAAACTATGGTATATCTATACAATGGAATACTACTCTGCTATAAAAAAGAATGAAATGCTACCATTTGCAACAACATGGATGGACTTAGAGAAAATTATATTAAGTGAAACAAGTCAAACACAGAAGGAGAAATACCACATGTTCTCACTTATTTGTGGAAGCTAAAATAAATAAATAAATAAATAAATATATAAACTGATGAAGAGTGGGGGGGGAAAGAAGACACATGAATCACAACAATTCCTTGAACTTGTTAAGACAAGTAAACAGATATGATGTAGTGGGGGTGAAGAGAGGGAGGGGGAAAGAGGAATGAATTAAGGGACATGAAAATCAACTACAATGTGTACTGAGAAGTTAAAATTTTTAAAAAAAGAGAAGAGATGACAAGTGTTGGTGAGGGTGTGGACAAATGGGAACCCTCAAATGTTGTTGGTGGGAATGCAAACTTGTATAGTCACTATAGAAAACAGTATGAGGGTTTGTCCAAAATCAAAAACAGAACTACTATATAGTCCAGCAATCACATTTCTGGTTATATGTCCAATAACTTCTTCAGTATTATTTGTGTATAAAAATGAGAGAAATACAGCCTTTAATTTTTATTGCCTGTGAAAAGTTTTATTAAGAAAATTCCACTTCCATATTAAATTGGATAAATACAGTTAATATAGCATAATTCTTAATTTCAAAGGCCTACATTTTCAAAATTACATTCATTCTGAAGGGAAAAAATTAAAAGTAAAAACAGAAATCATGTCCATCACAGCAACAAAATCAAATAACCAATGGTATGAAACTATAGATTTTTCTTTAACCAGTTTTCATCAAACTCTTGACAGTTTTCCTTGCTCACCATTAAATTATGGAAAGGATAAAGGGGTGGCGAAAAAAATATTTTCTCCTTTTTTACAGCAAATCTGAGTAGTCGTGATTTTTCCTTCCTTCCTTCCTTCCCTCTCTTTATCTTTCTTTCTTTCCTTCTCTCCTTCATTATTTCTTTATTTGCTTTAAAAGCCACCCACTATGATTTTATTTGTTCATTAAACATATCTTCCCTCAAAAACCATTATGTGCTCAATACCATGATTTATGCAATGTATAAAAATGTAGATTAGGGATGCTTGTTCCTGTTCTCACAGTTTATAATTTGGTGGGGAGTGAGAAACAGGTAATAGGAACATGATGTAGTACGTATGATAGTGGGACAAGTAAAAAAAAAATCTGTGGGAGCAGGTGACAGGGATCTAATCCAGGTTTATGCAAACAGGGAAGGATTCTTGGAAAAAGTGGCTTCTAAGCCTTGTCCTAAAGAATGAAAAGGAGTTAGACAGAGATAACTGAAAAATATTACTTGTGCAGAGAGTTCCTGGCAGCAGAAAAAGGAAATACTGTATACAAAGGCTTATGTGTTGATAAGCCAGAGGTGGCAAGATATGATGCTAAACAGATAAGCAAGGATGAGCTACTGAAGGACAGTGAAAGCCACTTCAGGGATTATTGACTTGACCTTGAAGACAAGAAATGACATTGAAGGGTTTTAACTGAGGATGGAAGGATGAGATTTTCATTTAGAATATACAATCCATTTGTAATCTAGTATGGAAAGAAGAAGAAAACCAAGGCACATAATTTTCTGGATTACAACAAATGCAGAGGTCAAGCACAGAGAGTTTTCAAACTTCTTCAGTCCCAGGCACCTATAACTGGTAGATATTTGAAGCTTCCTCTGAAGATCCCGTTGAGCACATAACAATTTGTAAATAAATATGAGGGGAGGTGGAAAAATTTCTTTAAGGATTGGCTTCAACAAATCAAGTGAAGAGGAAAAAGTACAAAACTTCATAAAAAATGAGGTAAATAAGTGCTCATTTCCTCATGTTTCCACTATTTTCACACTGGTAAATAAGAGGATATACTTTCGAAATTTTGTCATGTCTACAGATTTTTTACATTAAAATTTAAAATTTGTTTCTAATTTTTTAAAACAACTTTTATTATCATGTATGACTCAAATAAGTACGTTTTAATGTGTTTTCTAATTATATAATAATACTTAAATATAAAATTTGTTTGGTGCTAATTCAACTTCATAATTGAAATGAAGTTTAATAGCTATTAGAATAATAAAAGCTAGAATTGTAAACATCACCTTATATGACATTGCTTTTATATGACATAACCTTATATGACGTTACCTGATTAAGTGAAATTAAATGTTTTAAAATTTTCCTATTATTAGTAAATCTCATATAATTCAGTATATATACAGAAGAAAACACTTTCATACTAAAAAAAATCTTACCTCATATGTTAGAGGAGTCTTTGTATAACTAGGCACCATTATGGGTTTATTTGTTATTTTCCCCACTTGACATTCCACAGTGATGTTTTCCAAGGCTATAGGTTTTCTTCCAACCCCTTTTATGTCAAAGATGTACTTCATACCATCTACTTCATTTTGTAGAATAAGTTTTCCCTATGACAAACCAACCAAATTTCAGCTCTTTAGGAATCATAGTTCAATGCCAAAGAACCTCTGCTAGACTATTAATTTTGAATCCATTTAATGAAATGAGCTTGTATAGAATTGTTAGCCATTCCCTTTTCTAGTTCACATATAAATGCTTCTATTGAACAAACTTCTGGTGAAAAATCTCTTTATTTCCCCTTACTTTCTCTAAATTACAGAGTTTATATAGGCTTTCTAATACATAACAATTATATGCATGATTCATGCTTACTTTTTTGTCAAACAAATATTGTCCTACAAAAGTATTTTCTGATGTACCAGTTTCCTTAATGAATAAGAACAATAAAAAGCAATGATTTTATTTTGTTCACTATGTTGTGTAAAAATAATCTGTATGTAAGTCTTTACAGAAAATGACATTGTAACTTTCAGAACACTTATTCTTTAAATTACAATATTTATTAAAGTTTCAAGCAAAAAATTATCAAATTCATGGAAAATAGAAGGTTTCTGCAGAAAAGATTTATCAACAATTAAATAGGCTAATACCATACACTGGTTTATCGACATATTAATACTGGGGGAAAAAAATCAATGAGTTCATACCATTATCTCACATTCCAAAATTGGTTTGAACGTGAGAGGATACTGCACAGTTTCGCCTGCTCCAACATGTAAAATAGAAGGTCCATAAAACCATTTTCCTTCTATAGTAACTTGACATTTCCATTCATTCTTTGTTTTATTATTCTAAAGCATGAAAAAAAGGTACAAAAATGTCAGAAAGATGATGTTGACAAAGTTGAATTACATATTAATTCTTAGTACTTTTAATAAAATTGTGTATTATATTTATAATTGTATTTTTTTAGGGATCACCTTTTGAAAGTCATATTTGTTAAGAAGGACTGCCAAAAACCTGAACATAAGGCACAAGGATGACTACATGTTCTTTCTGCACCATATAGGAGCATTGCCTAATAGGTCTATCCAAAGATTATTTAATGTCTACAGAAATATCTTTTTGTCTGGGCCAGCCTGGTGGCGCACTGCTACAGTGCACCGCTTGGGAGAGCGGTGGCGCTCCCGCCGAGGGTTCAGATCCCACATACAGACCGGTTCCCGCTCACTGGCTGAGCAAGGTGTGGGAGCAACACCGAGGGTTGCAATCCCGTTGCTGGTCCTGGTCCGGTACGGGCGCAACACTGAGGGTTGCGATCCGTTGCAGGACACGAAAAAAGACAAAAAAAGGAAAAAAAAAATCCTTTTGTCTGATTTACTAATTACTGTTTAAATGACAAAATTGTCTTGGAGAACACAATTACTCCTTTTTTTTTTTTTTTCTAAAAGAAAATGATATTTATTCTGGAATAGGGCATTGCAATGACAATACACGTGCCATAGTAAACTGTGTGCATATTCAGGAAGGTAAAGGAAGACAAAGGGTTTCAAAGGAAAAATGATGGACAATTACATAATTGTTTGGGGATAATTATCCTTGGCTACACAGATCAGTAACAAGGGTAATGCCAGTTCAAGGTTACGCAGATGGTTGCTGGGCAGATGTCCTAGCAGAAGTATTTTTTTGTGTAAAGTTATGATGGCCACTGCACAAGGCTGTGGTTTTGCAGCATCTCTTGTGATAATTCTTGTTATTAGGCATTTGTGCATGAGAACCCTTCCCTTCTTGGCCTTCCCCAGCTCAATTTGTCAGTTTTTTTTTGTTGTTGTTTATTTATTATTATTTTTTTATTTTGTCAATATACAATGTAGTTGATTATTATGTCCCATCACCGATACCTACCTCCCTCCTCCCTCTCCCCCCCCCCACCACAATTACTCCTAATTAGGGAAAAGAAAAGTTGTTCTAACTGGTAAAGTGTTCAGATAACAAAGACTACATATCTCATCAGAACAGACTTTTGTGCTTCAGGCTGACTTTTGTTATGTCTTTAATAATTAAACAAATAAACAAACAAAAAAGCACTCTGTCACACTAAAAATCTAAAGTTCCTCACAATTACGCTACCTTCTTGTATGTTATATTATCACTTTGACTAATAGGTAGCCAAGCTACAGCCAATCATTTTTCACAGTGCCTATGAACCCATCTTAATCAGGTGTTAAACTCACAACAGAATATGGAGCAGAGTGATCTGAGAGTCCGTAACTCTGGTGAAGCCAGGAGGCACAGCTTTTGAGCAGGAATTTGATGATAGACATTAGGACATTGGAGTTAATTTTTTAAGCAAAGAGATCCAGAATTAGTGATTAATCAGGTGAATAATATGATAACACTTAGGAAGAAACTGACTTCAATGTGGAGAAATAATTGGCAGCAGATAATGCAAGTAGAAATCTGTAATACTTGGGCTGGTTCCAACTCTTGGCTACTGTAAATGGTGCTGCAATAAACATGGGAGTACAGGTATCCCTATGACATGATGATTTCCATTCCTCTGGGTATATATGCAGCAGTGGAATAGCTGGGTCATATGGTAAACCTATCTGTACTTGTTTGAGGAAACTCGATACCATTTTCCATAAAGGCTGAGGAGTGGATAAGGAAAATGCAGTATATCTATATAATGAAATACTACTCTGCTATAAAAAAAAATGAAATACTACCATTCGCAGTAACATGGATGGCGTTAGAGAAAATTACATCAAGTGAAATAAGCCACGCACAGAAAGAGAAATACCACATGTTCTCACTTATTTGTGGGAACTAAATGTAAATAAATCAATAAAAATACAAAGAAATAAATGGGTTGGGTGGAAGGCACAGCTATCACAATCCCTTAACTTGTTAAGTGAACAGATATGATGTTGATGAGAGGAGGGAAAGGAGGAATTGGTAAAGGGACAACATGAAAATCAACTACATTATATATTGATAAAATCAAATAATTAAAAAATAGAAATCTGTAAAAGTTCAGGATGAGCGGTTTGGAGGACTTTGAGACAGTTGGAGCCGAAGTGAAGAAAAGTACCAAAAAAATACGTTTATACTTACTATTGGAATATCCTGGGTAAGGGTTTCAAATGCTGGTGTTTCAAACTCAAATCTGGCCTCTGGTTGTTCTTCATTCACCACGCCTTCAATGTAATAGACACGCACATCACACTTTGATGTCAAAAATATTTTACAAGGGTAGCGTCCAGGACTGAGAGGAAAAAATCGTAAAGGAACTAGAACAGGTCCATCTGCAGCTGTCAGAATAATTTAAAAAATAGTTCAATCATTTTAAATGACATGAATCCTAAAATTCATTTTGGTAGCAATATTTAATGCTATTAAATTAAATTGCACTGTATAACCTAGGGTAGACTAGGTTTCACTGAAGTAACAAAACACCCCTAAATTTCCAGGGCTTACATTCAGGTATATTTATCAATGACAGCACATATCCTGTATAGGTCAGAGGAAGGTCTGCTTCATAAAGTCACTCAGGGACCCATGTTATGAAAGATACCACTATCTTGTTGTTGTACATCATGAACACCTCTCCTCTTTTGCTGATAGGTCAGCGGAAGAGGAATGGTTGGAAGATTGCTCAAGGGCTTTTCAGTGCTCAGCCCAATTAACACGTATTACATTTAATTGGCCAGGCTCAGTCACATGACCTTACATAACTCAAAGGGGCTGAGAAATGAAGCAGATATGTGGAATATTTGGTAAGCATTACTCTCAGACACGTTTCTATGATTTAGTGTGCTCTATCTCATAGCAATAAAAATAATTTTCAACTTGGGCAGGCAGCTGATAGAATTTTTTTTTTCATAGTTAATAACCAAAAAAAGAAGAAAGAGGCATATCTAATGAATAATTCTCAAAATACCTTGTTATAACATTTATCTTAAATTAATAGCTAATATCATTTCTTATTATGGGCAGGCTATCTATTCTGGTCTTTTCCTTTCAAGCAACACCACTTTTTCTCTGAAGAGCACCATTTTATTATTCTCCATAAAATGAGAAAATAGGATGCAGTATAATAACATAATACAAATTTCACTGTTTTTTTTTTTCTTTCCTTTTTTGTCTTTTTTTACTGACCGGTAACGGGATCGCAACCCTCGGTGTCACACTCGTACTGGGGACCAGCAACGGGATCGCAACTCTCGGTGCTGCGCCCGCACCACGCTCAGCCAGTGAGCGGGAACCGGTCTGCACATGGGATCTGAACCCTTGGCAGGAGCGCCGCCGCGCTCCCAAGTGGCGCACTCTCCAGTGCACCACCGGGCCGGCCCAAATTTCACTGTTAATGTCAAAATATATAAGTAATCAGTGAACAACAAATGATTGAAAAAAATGTTTGGAAGTCTAATTCTGTACAAGAAAGTTTTCTGATACTAAGAAACCAAGTCAAGTGTATCAAGCAATGGACCAGACAAGTATTATGACATTAATTAGATATAATTTTAATTCACTCACATTTAACAACTCAAATGTTAAAAATGCCAAACTTGTTTTCAAATGCCCTGAAGTCTATATGCCGAGAAAACCAGGCAGTGCTGCAAGAACATTAATTGTTCTAAATCCTTTTAAAAATAAATTGAGGATTTGTTTTAAAAGTCTAAGTTATAGGTTATGTTCCATTACATATTATAATTCAATCTTATATCAATTATACTATGTAGCATATATTGCAGGTTGTACATTGCCATGCGTCACATATTAGAGAAGTGATCTTCAAAAAGATTGTGAAAAGATTTATATTATCTTTTAATTACATTTTCCAAGAACTTTTTAGAGTACCCTCATAGCTGTACATCATATATTAAAACATGCTACCAATGGTTCACATTTGAAATCTGTATGACATATAACAAGTTCAAGACTCTTAGATGGTCTAAGGAGGAAACAATGGATTACTCTTAAAGGCTTTCATAATGTTATTTTTATTCTAGCCTATTCAAGTACAAATCTTATTTTAGAACAAATTTTTCTCTCAGCAAAAAAACTCCAGGCACATTTTATCCTCTGTTGTTCATTGATTATTTTCATCCTGAGGGAGGCATTTGGGTTGTGGCAACTTTACTAGAACAAATCAGGAGTACAAGTCATCTTGATAAAGCTTTGTTGCCTAATTAATGAAAATAAAGAAGGCTTGCTCTGCTGTGGGAGGCCCAGGTGGCTCTGCTGTAGCATCTGTTGCCCTGTGACCTGAAGGAATTAGAAGCACTGGGGAGAGAGTGTGGGAGTACAGCAGGAGACTCTGGAGCATGACAGTTCAGGACGGTGGCATAGAGAGGAGAAGGAGGCACGCGGCCACATCTCTGACACTGGGATCAGCACAGGAAGAATATTCCCTTGCAGCAAAAAGGTAGGCAGAGGAACCACACCAACCCCCACCCTCACCATAAAGGCCCCCAGATCCTTTGGCATGACAAGACGGGAACAAAGTGTGGGGAGTGCCAACATTGGAAAACACACTTTGCATAGCTCTAGAACACAGCACAGATGGAGCACTCCCCACCCCCCATCCTGAAGACCCAAGCTGACTCAGGACAGTGCCATCTTGAAACCAGAGCCCTTTCAGGAGCACGCCCTAACCTGGGGCTAGTAGTCATGGTCAGCCTTAAGTAGCACTCAGCCTTAAGGCTCTGCTCTCCACACAACACACTCACAGGAGAGGCAATAATGCCCTGATCCCAGAAGCTTGAAGAATGGGCTCACATCAGCTGTGACTCTAGTTCTATGGTCTGGGAAGCCAGCCCTAGTCCTGCTGAACTTATGCACCCCCATGTCCCTGGCCAGAGAGCAGACAGGCAGACCCTCCTCAAGAGGACCACGCCTCATTCCTTCCCCATCCACAGCCACACCCGCTGACTGAGTTGTGTGTGCCTGAGCCCCCATCACAGAGGGATGGCTCACAGGTCTCTAACATAATGGAGACACCTTCTGGCCAGTGGAAACATCCATCCCTTCCCAAGAAACTGCCAAGTGGCTCCATCCTGAACAGTCCCACCTAGTGGCCATGCCAACAGGCCCAGAAGTGGCTGCACCAGCTCTTCACTGCACATTTGCCTAGTGGCCCTACCTACTACCCAGAATCCACTAGACAGGCCACTTCCCTGCAGGCCTGCCTAGGGCCTAACCCACTACCCAGAAGGAGCTGAATGGGTCACCTAGCTGCCGGCATGCCTAGTGGCCCTGCCCCCCCCCACAAGAATGGCTAGATGGGCCCCCTCACTACAGACCCACCTAGTAGCCTTGCCCACTTCCTGAGAAGTGTCCGAAAAGCTTTGCCCTTGGTAGTCAAGCTTCTGAACTGCAGAGGAAAGCATGACCTTGAGGCCACTGCTATCAACACTGCTTGGCCCCAAAGAACTGTCACTGCCACTGCCCCTCTCCCCAGACAACAGTCAATCCTGTTCCCCACCAACACCCAGCCTGATGCCACCAGCTCCACCTTGACCAGATTCAGGTGTTTCTGTTTTTTACCAGGCAGAACAAAAGAGGAAAGAGAGAGAAGTAAAGACCCAGGGGAAGCCTCTGCTGCTAGGAAAAAGGAAAGAGAAAACCCACCCAGCATCATCCATTCAAGCTGAGGAGCTTCAGTATACACCAGTGTGCTTATGAAGGTCAAGGGACACTAGTCAGTGTGCAAGCAAGTCCACCCAGGGTCACCCAACTCAGCCAAGGAAAGACAGGGCACACACATGCTTCTCTCAAGAGCTTGGAATCTCACATACAATTTCAGTGATTCAAAGCAATGTCACATTACTTCAGCAAGAAAATACTGAGTACCCCAGAGTCTAGGCCATAGAGGCACTCACATGCAAAATTGACATTGAATACAGACAAAGTAGCTACACAGACATTACTGGGTACAGTGGTACTACTACTGTACCCAGAACCAAAACATAAAACACTCTACACAACTGTCAAAACAAAACATATCTACAGGAGGAATTATCTCTCCTCAAAAACCACTTTAAAGTGGTAGATGAAGCAATTGCTCTATCAGATGGCCAAATATCAATGTAGGGATACTAGAAATATGAATAAACAAGAAAACATAACACCACCAAAGAAATACAATAATTCTCAAGGGCCAGACCCCATGTAGCAGGAAACCAATGGATTGTCTAAGAAGGAATTCTGAAGAACAGTCTTAAGGAAACTCAATGAGACACAACAAGACTCAGATAGACAATGAAATGAGAAAAACAGTTCAGGATATGAAGAGGTAAATTTACAAAGAGATAAATACCTTAAAAGGAATGTATCAGAACTCCTAGAACTGAAGGATTCATTAAACAAAATAAAAAATAAAACCAAGAGCTTAAGCAGCAGGCTACAGCAAGCAGGAAAAAAAAATTCTTATCTCAAAAACAGTCTTTTTGAAATAACCCAGGTAGACAAAAAAGAAAAAAGAAAAAAATGAAAACCTTAAGCACACAAACATCCGAACCATGGGTGTTCTGAAAAGGGAAGACAAAAGAAAAGGCATTGAAAATCTGTTCAACAAAATAATAGCAGACAAATTCTCAGCTACAGGGAGAAATAAAAACATTCAGATCCAAGCACCTCAAAGATCCCCAAACATTCAATCCTAAAAGGTCCTCTCTGAGACACAATGTAATCAGATTGGTAAAAGTCAAATACAAAGAGAAAATACTAAAAACAGCAAGAAAAAAGCATCAGGTCATCCATAAGGGAGCCCCATCAAGCTAACCTCAGATATCTCAAAAATATTAACCAAAGAATATAGCAGCACATCAAGAAGATTATATACATCATGATCAAGTGGGATTCATCCCAGGGGTGCAAGGATGGTTCAACATATATATACTAGTCTGTTTCTGTTGCTTATAACAAAATACATGGAACGGAGTAATTTTTAAGAAAATGAAATTTATTTCTTACCAGTTTGGAAGCTGAGAAGTACAGTGTCCAGGCAATACATTTGGTGAAGGCCTTGGGGGTGGTGACAATGACCCTGGGATCTTACATGGTAGAAAATGGTGGAGCAGAGAGAACAATAGTTCCCCACACACTCTCCTTTTAAAGCCTTCAGAATCATACCCCTGACCACTATTAATAATACATTCACTATGGCATGGTCCTACAGTCTAATCACCTCTTCAAGGCACCACTTTTCAATTACCATAGTAGGATTTCCCACCCTCTCAACACTGTTACAGTGGTAATTAAGCTTCTTATATATGAACTTTGGGGACACAATTCAATCAATGTACAA